ACAGCTGCAAAATTAAACTAAACAAACTATACCTTTGAGTATTAACTTTTAGTTAAGTGTTGGAGATGTAGCAAAGTAAAAAATAATTAGTAAATTGATGCAGGTAGACAACACAAATTTGTGTCTGTTCTCATTTTGTGTACTTTCTAAAAACTTTAGGGCTCGTTTAGTTCACTAATTTGAGTTGAGATGTGACTCTATGTGAGAGTTTTTTACTGTAGTAAAAAAGTTAGATGCAATTGTTTCTAAAAGCTTTTTACTGTAGCAAAACTCGAATTCTAAACTCGAATCAGTGAAATGAACGGGGCATTAGTCTCAATAGAGGCTCTAATTTTAAACTCGGGCTCGTGTTGTCGATGAATTATATACGTGTGTCTGTACGTATTTTTCTTTTTTACTTTTACAAATAAGAATTTACAATTATTCAAATTTTAAACATTTATATTTATGTGCAGACATACATAGATAGAGTAATTAGTATAATTAGAAATTCCATAAATTAAACTAACCTGAAGCGGCGAAGAGAGAAAACATCAAGATAATTAGATTATGTTTAGTTCATAGATTCAGAATCATGATTTAAAATTATTCTCCATTTACGTGTATTTTTTGTAAGAAAAAATACTGTAGCAAGCCACGAATCATGACACGAATCCTCATACTAAATACTAAGTAAATAAATAGGTTTAAAATTCTCAGCCATTTCCACCGTGCGCTTAAGCTAAATATGATTTGGTTTTATATATAGCCTGACTTGCTCAGGTTGAAATTAATTTTTTTATTTAAGATTTAATTTATTTCATTTTCATGTGTCATATCAAGTCACGATTAAGCGTGTTTATAAATATATAACCCGAATATAACTTTAATGTAATAGGCCTTTATTTATCTATTAATAAAATTTTTAATTAATTAATTATTTTTTTGCTTGAAAGAAAACATTTATATATTTAAATTTATGAGCTATTAATTAGCAGCTCTATGAATATGACAATCTGAAAAAAGAAATACGATCGATAAATTATTAATATAGCACCAAACCCCAATGGAATTCGAATATATGCATTTGGCAAAGTGAGCTTTGATATGTGACACCTATAGAATCAACTTGTAATTTTTCTCTTTACAATAATCAACTTGTAATTTTAAGCACAAGTCTCTTACGCGAGAAAACGTGTAACATTTTGAACTTATTAAAATTTCCCCTAAAAGAAAGAAACTTATTAAATTAAAATGTTAAAAGGATTTTTAGTTAATAAACAACTCGACCTTTGATTTTTTTTTTCTCTTTTCTTGAAAATTGTATTCGTGTTTGGAAAGGAAATTCATGGCTGATATGGTCATTGAATTCATACATAAAGTTATGTTAATTTTTCCAAGGTAATAATATCGAGTACATAAGGTGCTTGAGCTATTTTTAAGTGGGTAAATTGAGAGTCTACCCAGAGATTTAATACTAAATTAGTAGGTTTAAATTGGTGAAATATAACTATTATTATTATTATTATTATTATTATTAATCTCAAAATCTCTTAAATTTATTTAAGTCACGCATAAAATTATACATTACCTTATTACTATTACTATTATTATTATTATTATTATTATATAATGTTATTAATAACTCTAAAAAGTAAAGACAGAAAAAGAAAAACGATTTTTTTTTTGTTTACAGAAAATTAGATCAGTTGTAAATCACATTAATCGTTTTCAAAAGTAAACATCAACTAAACACCATTTTCATATCATCTCGACAAAAGTAAAAATTATTAGTAATCAAAGGAGCCTCTAGTTTTACGCCTTTACTTCCATAATGTTTAATAAAAGAGAAGGAAAAGAAAAAAAAAACGAGAAATTATCTATACAAAATTTTCAGAATTTGAGTTTATAATTTAAGTTTTACTATAGTAAAAAGTTCTAAAAAACAGTTACATTTAATTTTTTTATTACAGTAAAAAGTTCTCATATAAAGTCATTGAATGCGTGCAAATTTCTCAACATGAGTGAACTAGTTTGGTAGAAAATGTCTGCAATTTTTTTTTTTTCTTTTTGAAGGACGTAGTCATGTTTCTTCTTCCACATTTTATACTTTATTTGTTAAAAAAAGAAAAAAAAAACAAAAAATTGGAAGGATCAATGAATAATGGGTAAATGACAAGGTATTAATAAATCAAAGTTTATCAGACTTTCCTCATGAGCAAAACCGGTAAAAATCTAATTTAAAAAATCAGAAATTTACCTGGATTTATCTATGACCAAATTTGATAAATTAAAATTTACTTAATTTACTTCCTAAATATCAATATTTACTTAATATTTATTACTTTCTTAGTTGATGAACTCATTTTTACTACACATCTTCTTTTAAAATAAAAGAAATATTTACTAAATAATTTAATTAATAATACATAGGCTATTTATTACATTAAATATTTCAAACAAACTATTTAGTTTATTATCATTTCCGCTTAGCAAAACAACTCTTATGCAGTAGAACAAAAGAAAAATAAGTTTAAGATTTAAAAATTTTTTTTTTTTTTTTTTTTTTTTTTTTTTTTTTTTTTTTATAGAGGAATTTTTAAACATATTTAGGTGAATAAATCAAAAACACTTATTAATAAAAAGTAATGTAATACAAAAACACTTATTATTATAAAAAGTAATGTAATATAAGAATGATGGAATTTTTAATTTTTTATTTAAAATAAAAGATTAAAATATAAATAATTTTTTTTTTTTGCATAAACTCTTTGTAACCACCGTTCTAATGAGGTGTCTTATTCTAAAAGAGTTTATAAAACTGAAAAAAAGTTACTCTTAAAAATAACTTGTAGATAAACAAGTTAAAAGTAGGGTTCTCTTTCAAAGCCAATTCAAACAGGCTCTGATTTTATATTTTCTACATTGAAATTTTCTTTTTCTACTGAAAATATCTTCTGTCGCAAAAAGAATTCGTGCACTTGAGAGCTCGTTTGGTTCATGAATTAGAATTATTTTCGATTTACGTGTGTTTTTTATGAGGAAAAATAATGTAGCGAACCATGAACTATGATTCAAATTAAAAAACGAATCCTCTAACCAAACAGGCTCTTAATTTAGAAAATAAAAAGAAAAAATAAAAAGAGAAAAAAATGGTTGCGCGCTTTAGTGCAATGGCTGTGTCTCACATTTGTTAAAAGTATGTAAGAACCTTGAAGGCTTTTTTTTTTTTTAATTATTAGATTTTGAGTGGGTTTGTAATTCATTTCAAAATAATTTTATTTTTTTTGTATAAAAATAGAAATGAAAACGTTTTTAATCTCAGACAGAAATCATTTTTAAAAATGTGTTTAGTAGTTTTATTAAGAAATTATTTTAAGTATAAAAAAATTTATTAATATCTCTCTATTCGAGAGAGGAGAAAATAAAAACAAAAAATTAAAAACGACTAAATTTTTTTTTATTTCTCTCATATTTTACATTAAATAAAAAAATTATTTTTATTTATGTTTTTTAACTTTAATTGTGTCAAGCGCTTTTTCTTTTCTACTTTCATTTTTTTTTTCAAAAAACGCAAAAAATAAAAATAAACAGAGTATCTATTTTTATTTTTATTCTCAGTCAATAATTAACGTGGCAAAATTAAGCGAGAAAAGAAAAAAAAAATCCTAAAAATGGGATTTTCACCTTATTTTGCCGCCATTTATCATTCGCTTTTCTTCCTGGTCGATCTTCTTCAGCTCTGACTTTGGAGAAGGAAAGCATCTCCGCGCCAAAGTTCACTGCCGGTGCGTACGCTGCTTAACCTGCGCACCCTCACCCCTTTTCTTCCATTTCTCTTCTGCTCCCCTCAATTTTCCTTCTCTCTCTCTCTCTCTCTCTCTCTAAAACTTTCTGCCTCTAAAACTGCACAGTCTGGGAACTCCATCGGCGACTCTAATTGGTAAGGTTTTTCTCGCCCGAATCCGCCATGATTTTCTCGAAATAGAACTTTGCAGTGGTTGAAACCCTAGGACCGAATCCGAGCCACTGATTTTGGCGAACGGGATTGCGTTTTCAGTACCGTGCTACTAGCTAGGGTTTTTGGTTATATTTCACCGATTTTACTGTGATTCTCGATTTCTCTAGTTTTTGTTCTCATTGCGTCTTGTGAAATCAATTTTTTGTTGTTTGGTTGCTGAGTAACTCTGAGAATCTTACTATTCTTGCACTAATTTAATTCCTTAGGCACAAGCTCTTCCATGTCTCAGTAAGACAGTCACAATTCAGATATTCGATTATTATAACAGTCACTGTATTTATTATATTGATTTTTGTTTCTTTGTTTTGCTTTTCTCTTGTCTCACAGAGGTTGGATAGCCTGGAAATTTCAACATGTATATAAAACAGGTGAGTTCCTGTTGTGGTTCGAAGGTTGCCGTCTTTACCTTGGCTATTTGTCCCTTTTTGAACCATTTCTTTATATCTACTGTTTTTGTTTAGGTCAAAATTGAGGGATTTAAGAGCTACAAGGAAGAAGTTGCTACTGAGCCCTTTAGTCCGAAAGTCAACTGTGTTGGTAATGTTGTGATTACTTTGCTAATTGCTGTAGAGGGATGCTTTTTTGGTTGTTTCTTCTCTTCACTGACTGAAATGCATGTGGATTTATTGCATTTTTTAGTATAAGTTTGTCCCGAAACTGTTGTCATGTAGTGTTTCATTGAGTGCGAAAATGTAAATGTTTACTAGAAGAGTACAAGTTGTCCTCACATACAGAAAGATTACAATAAGGGAAACGAGAGCTGAAAGGAAAACATTGAAATTTAACATAATCAGACAATGGAACATTGTTGAAGTCCTATGAGTAGAAATCAGTAAGCAAAGTACTTGATAAATAAATTTTGTTATATGGCAATACTCACCATCTAAAGTGTATTACTTTTGTTGGAGCAAAGTTGATACTTTAGGCCTCGTTCAGTTCGCAAATTCGAGTTGAGATGTGATTTTATGTGAGAGTTTTTCACTGTAGCAGAAAAAGTTAGATGTGACTTTTTGTGAGAGCTTTTAACTCTAGCAAAACTGGAATTGAAAACTCGAATTGGTGAAATGAACGGGGCCTTAGAGGTTCTCATTTGTTTCCATAGTCCATCTATGACTCATTAGGCAAAGTGTTAAATCACACCTTCTCATTCCTTTTTTTCTTTTATTATTATGCCATAATATAAATTACTTGAGATTTTAAGACCCCAAAGGGTTAGTTGAGTGCCAGGAATGTGGCTTTTGCTTTCTACTTTTCTCTTACATGGTACGGGGTTTAATTCCTTAGGACCATCTAACTGAGAAACAACTTTGAGTTTCATGATTCCCAAAGATTGTAGAGCTTTTAGTAGGGGTCTTGTATTAGGAACTTGAACTCGTTAAGTGGGTTTGGAGGATGCTTAGACATAGGGGTCTTGCATTAGGAACTTGAACTTGTTAAGTAGGTTTGGAGGATGCTTAAAAACACACACACACACACACACACACACACACACACACACACACACACACACACACACACACACACACACACACTGACACTGTGATGCGAGTTGAAATATTCATGTAACTCAACAATTACAGGAAAAAACCCAACTCAAAGGAATCAAAGGAAGAATAGAATCTCAAAATTTTATCCACTGAAGACACGTGATTATCCTTTTAATTATAGTTTTTCGCTTTATTATTTTTCATAAACATTTATGTTTCTCATTAAAAGAGAAATCAGAGTCCTCTTCGAAACATCATTAATCTATATGGAGCTTTAATAGCATTGACACTATGTATATTATTCGTAGTTGCAACTTAGACTATAGGCATTTCAATAATTCAGAAATTTTTGAATGATTT